ATAAAATAATATTAATTTATATTTATATTTGATTTTATTTAAATAAAATAATATTAATTTATATTTGAGAAAAGTTCAGTTATGAATGAACAGAATGTTAAAATTGATGACTGCGTCTTTGGGGTCGACCGCTGGATAGAATGGACTTGGTCTGAGAACGGGTTATTGCTACAGTGTCTCGACGTTCATGAACGGTGAGCTTTGAATGTCTAAAGGAAACGTTGTTTCCCTTGTATTTGTGATTGGTATAAGGAGAAGTGTAAGAGGATGTTTATTGTAGAGATTTTGTTGTGTAAAGACCAGATTCGTGGAGTTGGAGGAGGAGATGGCCGCGGGGGTGCAGGTCCGAGCTAGGGTGGTGGAGCGGTTGTTTAAGGAACGTATTTCACAGTTCTTGCTCTAAAAAGAGGAGGAGGATCGTGAGTCGGTGTTGTTGACTAGTCTTCGTATGCCTGATGGTTCGATTTTGTCGAATACGGATGGTGTGCTTTTGTATGGTCGGCAGGAGCTTGAAGAACGTTATAGGAGGGGGAGGGGGGATCAGCGTATGGAGGAATTTGTTCTTGGGTTTGGTTCTCCTGGGTTGTCGTCGTTGGACTGTTCGCTTTTTGGAGGGTGAGGTTGATTTTACGGAGGTCTGGGATGTGGTACGGTCCTTGAGAAAGGGCCAGGTGTGTAGGAACCGACCTGTGAGATTTATATTTAATTTATAAGAATTTATATAGAATTTATACTTAAGTTAATTTATATATTTCGATAGCAATTTGTATGATGTTAAGTGGACTGTATTTCTGCAATAATCTCACAAATCGATCCTTACACATTAGGGGGGGTTTATATTGAATTTATATATATGGAGTCAATCAAACTACAGTATTAACTACATACATTAGTATACATTGAGGAGGTTCCTTATCTTATTGTACAGCAGGCTTAGTCCACCAGGTATAACTAGGATGTAGACACCAAATTATCCTCGATTGAGGCTAGCTTCCATCACGCAGTAACTGATGTATCAAGTCTTGCTTCCTCTTCTTGTACCTGTCAAAGGGCGCTAGCTGTAAAGCCAGAATCCTAATATATGACAGCTATATCAGAGAAAACACTGTATATTAAATCATAAGGACCAAGGCTTAATTACTTTTAGTATGAGGCGGTTCGCATTCTAACCGGTTCGCCCAATATCTACCTAACATTAATGGCCAAAAATGATTAGATAAACGGGTTTCGGTAGGCCACTTTCCTTGATTATGTTGACAGCATGTTGATGATGGAAGACCACTACTCTGATCTCCATCACACTTCGTCCAAGAGAAATTATAGGAGCCGAATTTGCTCCACTGCGCCTCTGGTCTTAAAAACAATGGCTGACCTCTTCCTCACTAACGCCTCCCTCACTTTGTAGAGATGTCAATAACTGATAGAAGGGTCACATTTACTTTATTTTGATACTGATAATTAAGTTAATTCAAATGAGATGTTTTTATGATGGCAAAAGTCCAAAGACTAATGTATTTAAGAATAATTCACAACACAACAGCTGGTGAATTTATAATAGTATGTGGCAATGATATCCCGTTTTCTATTGACGGAAAATTCCACTCCAAGCTACATTTTCTATGGGTTAACTTGTGTATACAAGGGAAGCAATATTATCTGCAATTGCATGCAATATTATTATATGGTGTCGGATTTTCCGACAAGGTGCCTGGGTATGATGGGCTGCCGGCGGAGTTTTATGTAACATGTTGGGATATTATTGGAGCTGATTTCAGAGAGGTGGTCCAGTTTTGTTTTACGCATATGCGGTTGGTGGGGTCCTATCGCTTGGAATTGTGCGACTCTTTCCTAAGCCTGGCGACGTATTCTTTGCTAATTGGCGTCCGATAACGCTTCTCAATCAGGATTACAAGATCATATCGAAACTGTTAGTGAATCAACTTTAGTCAGTGGTGGGCTCCCTGCTTTCATGGGAACAGTTTTGTGGGGTGTCGGGTAGGTAGTTGGTACATTGCAACACCTGGTCCGGGATCTGATTGTCTATATGTTGCAGTCTAGGGGTTCGGCAGCTTTGATCAAAATGGACTGGTCCAAAGCCTTCGACCATGTGGTCATTGATTTTGTATTGTGGGGTTTTGAGAGGCTTGGCGTTGCCCCCCAGTTTATACATTAGGTGCGTATTTGTTGTATGCGGGGTGTTGTAGTCGAGAGTGTATGTGGATGGGTTGTTTAATACTCCGTTTTCCATTGGGCGCTCGGTTCGGCAGGGTTTCCCCCTGTCGATGCTTATGTATGTAGGTAATATTTCAGGAACAGTTGTTTCGAGCGGTGCGGGCCAGTGGCTCTATCGTCTCTCCATAGTTGCCCAACAGGTTTAACCTGAGAGTGGGTGGGTATGCTGATGATACGACTGTGTTTGTGGCTACAGTGGATTCAGTGGTAGGTGTGCAGGACGTGGTGCATAGTTTTGAGCTGGCCACAGGTGCTGTCACCACTCGCCAAAAATCTTGTATTATGGGGCTGGGTAGTTGTGCTGGTCGGGAGTCGTGGGAGGGGTCGTGGCTGCCGGTGGTGCGATCAGTTCGTATGCTGGGAATCACATGGTTTGTTTCTTATGAGGAATTATTGTTGCATAATTGGGTGGCGGTTGCTCGCTCGGTGGCGGCGTTGGGGATGTTGTCCAAGAAGGTCTTGACGATTTTTCAGCAAGCACTAATCGTCTGTTGTCGAGTTCTTTCTAAGGTATGGTATTTAGTTCATTATTTCCCATTGAGCAGGGCCCGTGCGCTGGATTTAGAAAAGATTGTTTTTCGGTATGTGTGGTGTGGCCGCTACCAACCGATGGTTCGCAGGTCCTCCTTGTGTCAGGGTCTGGCTGGCTGATGTGTATGTAAAGTCGATGGCTTTTTTGGGGGTGATGTTTCGTAGGGTGCTTGAGTTAGGGGATGGTCTCAAATTCCTGGCTCTGTACTTCAGTTCCATGCAGGGGAGTTATCTAATGGAGGTGCCGGTCTGTATGGACTTAGCATTCGTCACGCTGCCGGTCTACTCCTGTGGCGCACTGTGTGGAGGGGTTGTATCCGTTATTTGATTGGGGGGCAGAGTGCGGCTCTCTGCGGGCGCCGTTTCTGGACCCTAAATAACGGGAGTTGATGTTTCGATTTCTTCATGAGATTCTGGCTACCAATGAGCGGTTGTTTATGTTAGGTATTGTGGGCTCAGCTGGTTGTGTCCACTGGGGGGGGGGGGGGGGGCGAGTCTCAACTTCGTGTGTTTTACTTTTGTCGGCGGGTTTCTTGTTTGGTAGACTGGGTTCGGGGTATGAATGTTACCTTCTGTGGGTCTGATTTGCGGGTAGATTTGCTGCGATTTTTCCTCTTGTCGTTTCCGGGAGGGAATAGTAGAGTTTGTAACATGTTAGGGATGTTGGCGTCCGACTACATTTTTTGTTTGTGGGTTAGTAGATTAGAAAGGTACGATGTGACTCAGATATTTGGGTCCTTGAGGAAAAGGCTGCACTACACGATGTGGTGGCTACAGCGATTCGAAGGTTCTTGCTCGGTGGTTCACGACGGCTTATGTTGCTGCTGCTCAAGTCTTATAGGGTTTAGCAGGCGGCGGCGTTAGTCGTTGTATTGTTTTCTTAACTCGTGGGTTGAGGCTGCATCCTCACCCTTAAATGATTGTATGGGTTTCCATAATCCTGTTATTTTTATTGGATGTTTGTGTGAATCGGCTGATGTAGGTTTTATTGTGTTAGGCTTTGTTACTGGACCCTTGAGTTGGCTGTCCGCCGTTGCTTGTCATGCTGCTGGGTGGTGTCCAGCCTTGCCAGGAGAACTGCAATGTGGTTTTATATTATTGCCATTGTGTGGGCTGGTCCATTTTCTTTATTAGATTTCCCTTGTAGGGAATTATTATGTTGGTATGTTTTCTGTATTTGTTACGTATCTTGGTGGGTGGTAACGGCCTCCGTTAGTTGAGGACCATTGTGTATGTTATTATGTCTTATGATTTCTGTATATACTGTTATGTGTTTTTAGTGCTCTGTTTTTACGGTACCTTATTTGTGTTCCACTTGTGTGGTTGTTGTGGTACCTTATGTTGGAAATAACCAATAGTTTTATACATCTTTGTATTTTATGCAACCTTTGTATTAACCACAAGTAGTTACTAAAATCACTAACTTGTAGATTTAATCATTATCTTGATTTATTTAAACATATTGCCAGATTCTTCCTAGTCAGCGTGACGACGTGAGGAACGACAGGCAGTAACATGAATTCTCTCCACATTTAGTTGGATTTATAACAAGAGTCCAGTTTATCATTTCCTTTACTAAAAATAGTTACTTACTAATAAGATTAATTTCGTAGTATACTACTACTTACTGGAACTCCCTTATTTAGTTGATATTGAACATTCTAGAGGAAATTACTTTAATGTAAATGATTTTACTTTAATTTCCTCGATTAGCTGCACAACTTTAATAAACCAATTTATGTTACGAGAAATTCTAATTTATCACAGAAGAATTTAATGTGATATTAATACTCGCCATTATCTCTTCCTTTCTTAGTCAATTGCGATATATATATATACATTTACGCTCGAGATGTCTATCGAGAGCCGCGCATGCGCAATAAGGAAGAGCAGGATGACGGGAGAGCGTCACTAGACACGAGAGAACGAGAGAGCACGGCGTTGTCGCCATTGTCAGCGTGTAGCAGAGCTACGTTTTGATCCCATTTATTTCGCTCCAACGACCAGTAGAGCGGTGCCACGTTATCTGGCACAATAGCCGTGTCCCAGACTAGTATATGAGCAATTCCAAAGTCAACGCCTTTCAAGCAGCAGCTGGAGGACGAAAAATTGCTCAAGTCTCCACATCAACGGACACATGGCTCGGCAGCTGGGTTTACCTTTTTGTTATTATGTGGTCACAATTAACATTTAGGGGTTTGTCAGATGAAAATTAAAAGTTGTTGTAGGGCATTGAAAATTTATTATCCTGATACATGTGAAAGGTGCTGCACCTGGGCCAAGTTTCAGCATCGCAGCCTAAATAGAGAGGGAGAAAAAAAATAAAGTTTTTTTTAGACAATTTTTTAACAATGTTCAAATCATTTCACAGCCCACAATTGTGAACCGAAATCAGTTCTATGACACTTAGCTATGACCTTACTATATAATAAAGATTTGTCTGGTGGATTTTTATCCCAGATGTATTTAGTGCAATAATACAGATTTTGCAAATTTCCCAAAAATCCTATGTAACAATATGATATTTATAAATATTTATAAAATCAATAAATCTACGTAGAAAGAAAAGCCACCACTATGTTTTAGAGACATAAACTCTACATATAATGTGCAAGATTCATGTAAAGTGAATAATAAATAAAGTCTGTGAAAGCAGATAAAATTGTAAAATATTTACCTGCACAAACGAAGGTCAAAGTTCAGCCACCTTTAGCTGAGGTTGATGTTGACCAATATCATTCAAAATTTGCACCCTTGTAGATAGGCATGGGTTCAGTAAGGTGTACAAGTTCCATGCAGATCGCTTGTAGATAGGCATGGGTTCAGTAAGGTGTACAAGTTCCATGCAGATCGCCTGATAAATAAAAAAAAAAAAAAAAAAAAATTATATATTTGCCATCAGTTTTATATGTACAAATATTTATGAAGTAATATCACAATATAACACTAAAACATACTAACCTAATATAATTGGTCAGAAATATGGGTCCTCAAGGTGGCACTGGAGTGGCACTAGTAGGCACCTGCCCATAGCTGGGGCCCCCTCAGGGGCCTTTCTTGGTTTGGTTTTGCGTCTCGTTGGTCTCTGCATATCCTTGTCCTTTTTGTTCAAGTACCAGTCCAGTTAGATTTGGAGTAGCAGGTGCAAGACCTGGAGTAGAAGGTGGAAAATGTGCGGTGGCAGAGGGTGCGATTGTGGGGGGGGGGGGCAGAGGGTGCGATTGTGGGGGGGGGGGCAGAGGGTGCGATTGTGGGGGGGGGGGCAGCGGGCTGCAACACTTGCGGCTGAGTGGCCGCCTCGATCTTCACTCGTCAAAGTGCGTAATCTACCGATTCTGGCCAGCTCGCACCTTCTACGGGCAGCTAGCATGCTTTCATAGTTTTCCTCATCTTCGTTTTGTACGTCATTTTGCAGTAAAAATAGCACAAATTGTGGGAGCGCATCCACGATACATCCACCAGCTGAGGGACACAAAGAGTGACTGACTTAGCCAGCAAGCCCATCCCTCTCTCACACGAGACTGTTGCCAATGAGTGAGTTTATATTCGTTTTATGCATAACACGTTATTTTCCACGCTATTACGAAATATTAGACTTCTACAATGTAAGACACAACACCCCACGGCGCACCCAGGCCGCGAGAACCGGATTCACGAAAGTTGCAGCGGGAAATTTGACTCTAATTACGTTATTTTTCAAGATAACATAAAACGGTTTGCACCACAGTGTTGCCAGAACGTTGTAGTATTTTTCAGAATTTTTCGTAAATTTTCGAAATTTTTCGGATTTGAGCATAGATGTCCCCTTAGGCTAGTTGTCATTAGGCCGTAGAACAAACAAACAAATCCCGTACGTGTCTTGAGTGATTTTACAATTTAAATAGATGATTATTTTATTATTTCTCTCTAGAAGAAATTTATAGTGCTTGAATATAAATTGCACAGATATTGGCTGAAATTTCCTACAGTTATCCTCATGATTTAGGATTTATTTGTAGTTACTTATTATGTAGAAGATTTCTACAATGTAATTGCCTTTCAGTACCAAGGCGACGTCAACCGAGGTGTTAGGCTTCCCCACCGTTCCGTGCAACAATTTGCCCTATGCAACACGTCGTCGGTGGAGCGTAGCAACTGATTACACCTCACTAGATTTACAGCTAAGCTGTCCCTTTTTTATCTGTTGCAATAACTCTGTAATTACAGTTGTGATTTCTAAAGGAGATCAATTATACTAACCCATTGATTTACTGATACTGTTCAACATTTCAGTAGTATATTGAGGAGCATTTACCTCCAATTAATATTATATAATCAACCTTATTTACTTTCATATTTTATTTACTCTGGTGAAGAACCAGCACCAGAATAATACAAGGGATGTATTAATCTTTTAGCATGTAACCCCCCAATTTTGTGTAAGTTAATTTGACTCCATTTATATCAGAAATACAGTTTCACTAAGATCCATAGGACACTAGTTCTTGGGATCAGTTTTTCCATTGCTTTATTTTGTTTTCCACTTTTTCTCAAAAAGTGGTGGTCCTTCATAGCTATCGAAGTATATATTTAATTATTAGTTATTGGAGTCAGGTTTTCCCCCACACCTCATCTGTGTTCCACTTGTGTGGTTGTCGTGGTACCTTATCTGTGTTCCACTTGTGTGGTTGTTGTGGTACCTTATCTGTGTTCCACATGTGTGGTTGTCGTGGTACCTTATCTGTGTTCCACTTGTGTGGTTGTCGTGGTACCTTATCTGTGTTCCACATGTGTGGTTGTTGTGGTACCTTATCTGTGTTCCACTAGTGTGGTTGTCGTGGTACCTTATCTGTGTTCCACTAGTGTGGTTGTCGTGGTACCTTATCTGTGTTCCACTTGTGTGGTTGTTGTGGTACCTTATCTGTGTTCCACTTGTGTGGTTGTTGTGGTACCTTATCTGTGTTCCACTTGTGTGGTTGTTGTGGTACCTTATCTGTTCCACTTGTTCCACCTTATCTGTGTGGTTGTTGTGGTACCTTATCTGTGTTCCACTTGTGTGGTTGTCGTGGTACCTTATCTGTGTTCCACTTGTGTGGTTGTCGTGGTACCTTATCTGTGTTCCACTTGTGTGGTTGTCGTGGTACCTTATCTGTGTTCCACATGTGTGGTTGTGCGTGGTACCTTATCTGTGTGGTTGTCGTGGTACCTTATCTGTGTTCCACTAGTGTGGTTGTCGTGGTACCTTATCTGTGTTCCACATGTGTGGTTGTCGTGGTACCTTATCTGTGTTCCACTTGTGTGGTTGTTGTGGTACCTTATGTGTGTTCCACTAGTGTGGTTGTCGTGGTACCTTATCTGTGTTCCACTAGTGTGGTTGTTGTGGTACCTTATCTGTGTTCCACTAGTGTGGTACCTTATCTGTGTTCCACATGTGTGGTTGTTGTGGTACCTTATCTGTGTTCCACTAGTGTGGTTGTTGTGGTACCTTATCTGTGTTCCACTATGTGTGGTTGTCGTGGTACCTTATCTGTGTTCCACTAGTGTGGTTGTTGTGGTACCTTATCTGTGTTCCACTAGTGTGGTTGTTGTGGTACCTTATCTGTGTTCCACATGTGTGGTTGTTGTGGTACCTTATCTGTGTTCCACTAGTGTGGTTGTTGTGGTACCTTATCTGTGTTCCACTAGTGTGGTTGGAGTAAATTTAGTGCGCAACTATCTAATGTGCCCTGGGAACCGGTGTTTTGTATTAACGTTGTGTATGTATTTTTATTTTGTTTGTGTATTGGTATGGTGTATGTTTGTATCTTGGTTTGGTTCACTGTTTCTCTCACTGTGTCTGGTGGTGTTTGTGTACCGCAATGTTCTTTAGTAGCTTTCCTTTTATTGTATTTATTTTATAATTTTATATTTAAAAAAATGTTTACTATTCAGAATCACCCCAAAACTTTGTCACAGGTGTTTATTATCTTTTCACATAATGTGTAGGTTGTGTTTGGCCTGTTTTCCGCTATTCTGCATTCCATTATATTTGTTTACATAATGGAATGAGATACATAATCAATTCGCCATGTATAGCTACACTCACTCACTTTGTCATGATCATTTTGGAGGTCAATACAGTCTTCTAATTCCCAAACTCCCTTCTCCAATGTTGCATCATCTGCAAACATATAATGTTGTATGCCCTCTAGCAGATATCCATTTATATAGTTAATACACATTACTATTGGTAGTGAACCATATGGTACTCCGCTGGTGACATTTTCCAGTCAGATAACTTTCCTTTAATTACTGATCGCATTTGTCTTTTAAAAGTCTTCTCATCCATTGTGAAACTTACAAATGTGTGCAACTACCCTGAATTACGCTACAAAAGTTGCACTAAAGCATCAGATTTTAAATAGCCATCATAGTTTTGAAACTTCAGATCAATATGGGTAAAATATGACAAATCTCTATTTTCACCTATAGTCATATTTCCCATATAAAAAGATGTAATTTAAAACTTCAAATATGTGCAATCACCCTGAATTACAGTAAAAAAAATAATGGTCAGGAGTAATATTTCCAATATGCATCGTATTTTCAAACTGGAGGTCGATTTGGGTAAAATGCAAGACATCTACGTTTTCTATTATTTTCCATTTCTATATAAAAACTCAGCTTCAAACAGTGTCCAATCACCTTCAATTATGCGCAAAAATAGCACTCGGCATAATATTTTAAGTTGATTTACCTGATAGAGACTTTAGGGTCCTGGTAGTACAGTCGGGTTCGTTCCCGACTCACAATCGGGAACTACGAGAATCACCTAATGACTCTGTTCACCTAGCAGTAAGCAGGTACTCAGGAGTTAGTCAGCTTCTTGTGGGGCTTCATCTTGGGAAGGGTCAGTAGTTCGACCCCGGGGGGATGGGGGAGGACCTCGATATAAGCCTATGTAATAAATATACACTGGCTGTCTGTCCCCCGACACAATGGATTATTAACTTAAACTAACTATACAAGGCAATGAACGAATGAGCTCGATATTATACATTGTGGTGACTATATTCTATGAATTAGTTTAATTAGAGACGTTAGTCTTGACCAAAAATCTGTACCTCTTACTCTAAAATTACAACACCTCTTCATCAACTATTTCGACTAAAGTTCCAAGTAGGATTAAGTTCACTGGTACAGATGGAAACACCAGGTTTCTCTCTATAGGTCAGTGACAAAACTACAAATCTCAATATTCTCGATTTTGGCTGCAACAAATATTTAGCCTTATCCCTGCAAAGGGTTAAGACAGCACAGGATCGGAGCAAATGGAAAGACTTGCCGTGGTTGCCAAAAACTAGAGGAGTAATGTACAATAAATGGCATTTCCGGAGAAGGATTATACTATTTTTTGACAAAAACTGTTTAATTGTTCCAGTTGCAAACAATAAGGCACATGTTTACTCTCACTCAGAATACACACAACTGATACTGCTGATATACACACGTGTAAACAGACTTTTCATTAACGATGGAAAATCAAAATGCACAATAACCAAAAAGGACACGAGATAATACATATACAAGTAACTGACAGATGTCCCTTTTGATTGGTAATAAAATTATAGGCAAACATTATTGCAAGGCAAACAGATAATAACGGAGAGATGATAACTGTAGGATGAAGTCGGATGTGTTCGTTAACATAGTCCACCACTTTTGCAACGTTGGAATCTTCTAGAAATTTATGAATGAATGTCAGTCCTAGCATCAGTTGTTATCCCAGCACAAGCTATTGATCCTAGCATCATTTTAGTATACTAGGAATATTATCAGAAGTGTATGTCCTAGCGGCACTCAGTTGGAGGAGGAAGCGTGTAGCTCTGCAATGAGAGAAGAAAATATATATTAATATTTTGGTTGTGGTAAACTACGACCATATAAATAATAAAGTTGAGTCTCCTGAACCAGTTTCACCTCTTCCACCTATTGCTTCTCACCTTTCACAGCAACGTCTACCATTTTTTACAAACTCCTCACTGCACCAGAGTTTTCAGACAGTATAGCAAATTAGACAATCAGCAAAACAAACTACATACCTTGATAAGGGAAAAACGATGGAAGAAGAGTACGGTAATTTGCCAATGTCAAGATAACTTGCATTAGTATCCAAGAGCATCACCAAATGGCAGCTAAAGTCAGCTTAGTGTTTGTTTCACTTGCGAGTCCGGTTGACTCACATGGCTGGCCCCAAGACGCTCTTTGTAAAGACCATCATTGTTGTCTAACATAGGAGGAGTTAACGTTACTTGGGACATATATTGTCTTTATCTTATGGGGTGGGGGGCAGGTAGCTTCCTTAGTTTTATTCGTCATTACTTTTCACGATTGTGGTTCAGTTAAGAAGAAAGAAGATAGGAGGGATGTAGTTCGCCCTGAATGTATTTCAGATTTATCTTCCCTGACATCAGCTTGTTTCCTGTTTCTGCAGCAGAGCTATCGTCTTATAGTGTGGGCTTCAGTTGCCCCGGTGTCTGAATAATACTTGGTTCCTCAACCCAGACTTGTTGAGGGGAGATTCTAAAGGTCCTTGTGCACACAAATAATTATCAAAGAAGCCGCCAAGCCAGAAGTCAATGTAGCACCGTCTGTGTTGCAAGATTTTCAAACGGAGCATGATATCACTCAAGATGCCAATACGAAAACAGAAGGGGGCCTAAGGTGAATGATATCAAGGTATCGAATTCGCCAAGGATTGTAATCAGAGACAACGACTCCTAGAGAGATTAGGAAAGGAAGACACACGAACAGCCAGAAAATCAGGGCAATCGAGAAGGAGGTTTAAGGCTGGACATGGACAACGCAGTTTGGACGAGAGAGAGCAGGACGTTGTTCCATTAAGTGACCACAAGTTAGGTAGGTGTGCCTTGTGTGCATATTTTGTTTTGTTTTCAGTATATTCGTGCTTCGTCGTGCCCTGTGTAACGATGTATCTTGCTCGTTTATACGATTCCACTTCAGTGGACGATATGGATTCGTGGGATTGATATCAGTGGCACCGTCTACTTTTTCCTCGTTTGTACTTTCTTGAGTTGGCCCACGCTCCCCTTGTGTCCGGTGCGTCTGGACGTTTATTAATGAACCACCCATATAGTTCCCATTGGGATTGGGTGGCTGGTTAACCAAACATTTTTCATAATAAAGTTTTCTATGTTTTGGGATTTTCTGTATCATTTGATTCGTTAATGCAAGCAGAATTAACTCGGTTAATGCTGCTTGCAGCTTTCAGGAAAACAAAATTTGTTGTTGTTATTTGTTTATGTTGGCTGAGCCGCTCTCCAGGATGACAGCATCAGACACTTATTGTACTCCATCCAGACACCTCAAGGTTTTGGCTTTTGCAGGTCTTCAATTGTGGCCAACACTGTGGGAGGCGAGCCTCCTCTTTTTTAAGAATCCTGAAGTTTTGGTATACTGACTTGAGTTAAATTCTTAGTTTTACTGTCTGGGGCTGGGAGATTGGCTGGCATCTGTACTTGCCTCTGCCACCGCCTTTGATAAGGGTTATTAAACAACCTTGGCCTCAGACTTCTGCTGTTTCTGACATATTAACGGTGGATCCTTGTGGGGTAAGTGACGGTATTGTAGAAGCCTAGTCCCTTCTTCTGAGTTCGTCCATTGTGTTTGTGAAACGATGGGAGTTCGTTTCCCATCGAATCAAACTTTCCCATCATCAAACCCCATCAAGATGCTTTCCCATTGTTACGACCCTGGGTTCCTCAGTGGAAACCAGAGGTCAAAACTGAGCTAATAAACTGCCTTTTAGTATTGAAAACACATCACGAGGTGCCCTTGTTTGTATCTTCCCTGCCAGACGTAAGACTATTCTTGTTTTTCAAAGAGCATTTAAGACTGAGCTTGGGGTTGATTATTAAATAATAACATAGGCACCAACTATGTTTACTAATACTTTCTAATCATTTGTAAAGTAAACCTGAGTAAACTTGGTATAGGGCTGCGGTACGATTAGTTGAGCAGTCTGCCGGCAGCGAGCCAGCTGGGGGAAAGGAGACTGAGAGTCTTTCTTTTTCTGAGCTGGCGTTGGGTGGATAGGATCCTCCTACCCTTCCTCCTCGTTTCCTTATTTCTGTGTCTTGTCCAAGCTAAGTATATACTGTGTACATTATTCATTCTCTGGCATACACGTGTTCTAGGTGTATAGTAGTATACTTTGTGTGTAGTAGGTGTTTTTAAAGTTTATATTACTAGTTATTCTAAAGGGGGTCCCAGTGGAACCACGTGGTCTCCCTACCCTAAGCTGACTCTAGCTTCAAGTGTTTCCATAGTAGAACTTTACCCTAGCTTGTGTTCAGTGTAAACCTTGTATCCTGTCTATGTGGACCAAGGCTTTTAACGTAAGATAGTGTGGTAAAGTAATTATTATTATTGTTATTGGTGTGAGTGTATATGGGGGGTTGTTAAGGGGTTAATAAATAAGTAAGTAGTAACGGAGTATCCCTTCTTCCTGTGTGGGAGTGCTAGGATCAACCTCTAGTCTGACATAGTCTAGTAGCAAGTTATTATTACTGTGGATAGTTTATTTTGGGGGCCGGGCCTTTTAGTTCTCCCATATTTGATAACTCTGAATGCTACCTACTGCCCCTACACCCATGTTATAATAGATCCCCCATAGTACAGACACTCCTTTATTTAACACCCATCAACCCCCCCCCCCCAACTTTTGTTGGGGGATCAAGGTTTTTATAAAGGGCCTTTGTACCCATCCTTCCTCCCTTATGTGTGGAGGAGGGGTGCTAGGGTTTCAATAGAGGACATCTCTACTCCTCCTCTTTCCCTTTGTGGGGGTGAAACACCATAAATTGTTTTATTTACGATATTCACTGAAACAATTAGAGTCAGTTCAGGAATTGTGTGGCGACGGTCTGTCGGTCCTTGAGAATAACAGTCACACTTTTTAATGCGCTAATGTTTACATGTTGGGTATAGGTCAGGTTGTGTCAGGTGACCTTGTCCTCTACTATACTGATACCTGCAGACAGTGTTGTGATCTTTCCCTCATACAAGCCGCTGTCTAGGTGTGATAGTTAAGAAAAAAACATCCACCTTGTGCTTTCGGTGTTTCGCGCGCCTAAGCGGTAAGACCGAAAAGTGTATACTCTTTTGACTGTCCTGACACTAATTGTAGGCGTACGTATTTAAATTTGGTATCACTGTGTTCGCAATAGAATTGTCTATAAGAACATACCTATAAAATGCCGCCAAAGCATAAGGCATATCAACACCAAATAAACTATTCAGATAGATCACTTGCCGAGAGGGCCAAACAGCAACAAAATGTTTCCACTCTCTTAATGGTTGTGAAGCCCACAGTTGTGCTACAGCGTTAATTTTGGTATCACTGAAATTGCAATAAAATTATCTACACGGACATATGCATATAAATATAGATTCAATGTCGTAGCTCACCCATAACAGTGTGGGAAGTGGCCGAAGTGTTACCCGCGGCGGCATATCGGCGAAACCCGCTTTGAAAAGTGAATATTCAATTCACTGTCCTGACATTATTTTTCGATGTATGTATTTCATTTTTGTTCCAATGTGTTTGCAATAGAATGTTCTAGACGAACATAAGTATAAAAGGTCACATAAGGATGCGTTCGACCGGCAACATATATAAAAACTACGTCGATTAAACTCGTCGTGACAATAATACAATTGTTTTACCACGATGATTCACTGCCATGCCGTTCTCTTTAATAAGCTGGTCGGCTATTAGAGAAAACGTAAATTTCATGGCAAACATTTGTAAACTATCCCCAAGTTGATCGGATAATAAATGGAATTTATACAAATATTTTTTCTCGTGAGCGCGGCACGCCAGCGTAGTCAGGAGGAAAATTGGTGACGACGCTGTTGTCACCAAAGCGCGAAAGTGTTAGCGGTGGATCCTTGTGGGGGTAAGTGACGGTATTGTAGAAGCCTAGTCCCTTCTTCTGAATTCGTCCATTGTGTTTGTGAAACGATGGGAGTTCGTTTCCCATCGAATCAAACTTTCCCATCATCAAACCCCATCAAGATGGTTTCCCATCAACCCCCCCCCCAACTTTTGTTGGGGGATCAAGGTTTTTATAAAGGGCCTTTGTACCCATCCTTCCTCCCTTATGTGTGGAGGAGGGGTGCTAGGGTTTCAATAGAGGACATCTCTACTCCTCCTCTTTCCCTTTGTGGGGGTGAAACACCATAAATTGTTTTATTTACGATATTCACTGAAACAATTAGAGTCAGTTCAGGAATTGTGTGGCGACGGTCTGTCGGTCCTTGAGAATAACAGTCACACTTTTTAATGCGCTAATGTTTACATGTTGGGTATAGGTCAGGTTGTGTCAGGTGACCTTGTCCTCGACTATACTGATACCTGCAGACAGTGTTGTGATCTTTCCCTCATACAAGCCGCTGTCTAGGTGTGATAGTAAGATATTTAGAGCTGTGTGCTGTACACTTTCGAGCTGTGGGTTGAAGACGCTATTACAGTGTTGGCTGCTCGTTATCTGTTGCATATTGCTAGTCCTCGCCTTGTCTGTGGAGCTGGGATACCTTTATCAGCTGTTCGTCCCCCCAAGCTCTGTGGTCCCGGCCTCTCACCCCTCACTGGCCAGCCTTTCATCTTTGTGCTTCTTTATTATTCTCTCTTGCAGTTCAAAGTTGGTTTTCGTCACTAAGTCTGCCCGAAACGCTTTGCGTAATAGTGGCTTTAGGCATTGTATGTACTAGCTCTATTTATAAATCCATCAACTTTTGTATCTCACCCTGTATGTATGTACTTTACCTGAATAAATATTTGTATTTGTAAGGCGTTGTTGGGTATTTGCTCCGGAAAGCTACCGAAGACCAGCCCAGAAATCAAACATTTAAAGTCATGAAATTCGCTTGTTTGGGCGGCCTCGTTTGCTCCCTGTTCCTGTAGTTGTTCCCTGTGTTGTTCGGGGCTGCTTTAAGGCGGCTCGTAGTATGTTGGCATTCGGCAACCTACTTCTTCCCTTCTTTCCTGTTCTCTCTCATAATGACACCCAATTTGTCTTCGTTCACAAGTACTTCCTGGGCAGTATTTACCGATTATGAGGTTGCTCTAGGATCCCTCTCGCCACTATGAGCTCACCAGATTATTTTCCTGTGTCTGGGTGGGTGGGAACACGTCCAGAGGTGTGACGGGTCAGTAGTGCCGGGGCCTGGCAAGCTATTTAGGCCGCCCAAAAAGGGCCATTTCGTTACATTCAACCCATAATTATACATAAGCTCTAAGAGATCTGTAAGTACAATTTCGGTCTGGCTATAACGTAGGAGTGCTATGAAAGAACACATAAATAGTTCAAAAGCTACAGAGCAAAATCAATTTGTACTGAAACTGGAAACTATTCCAGTAATAAAAATGTGATGCAATACATTTTAAATACGACAAATTTAATTATTACAAAAAATTATATTCTATCGGAAAGTCAATTCATTTAATTTCATTTTTTTATATTTAAGTTTTAAATATTTAGCAGAATAAACAATAGCATTTTGTTGTTGAGGAAAGATGAGGAAGGAAAGACAACCCGGAACGATGGACTGACCTTTGAGATCTGGAACTCTGGCTGATAGTAGTCATAGAGACGCACTGTGCCGGGCTTGACCTCCTCCACCTCTATGTCTCTTATTACACGGAAGTTTGCACAAGTGTCTTTAGCAGTTAATTCTTCAATATAGAAAGCTATCTTGCTGCCATCTACATCATATCGCTTTATATTTTTATCCTTTTTAAGAAGTTCCTTCAGATCATCTTTCTCTGGGATGTAACCGGAAATGAGATTGACCTCAATGACGGCCATATTGGACTTGCCGTCCGGGAGGCGGTAGGAGGCGCACACAGTGATGCGCTTGGTGACGCACTTCTCATCCGGCACGGTGTTTGTGTTGACGGTCATGTCGAAGGCGTCACTCGCCTCAGCCTCAGGAATGTTGTACCGCAGAACAGCCTGAAACAAATTGTTAATGCAATAATTATCAGAATGCACTAAGCCTGCATGTCAATTGTTACAATATCGCAGCTCATTACTTGGCTTGCCTTTGGCCTCATACTCGCCAACTTCCACCATGAGAAGCTGGCAGTCAATACCACCTTTATGAACTCGCCAACTTCCACCATGAGAAGCTGGCAGTCAATACCACCTTTATGAACCTTTGGCCTCATACTCGCCAACTTCCACCATGAGAAGCTGGCAGTCAATACCACCTTTATGAACCTTTGGCCTCATACACGCCAACTTCCACCATGAGAAGCTGGCAGTCAATACCACCTTTATGAACATGAGAACAAGAATTAAGGACGCTGCAGAAGGACTATTGCCTTACTCGTGGCAGCTCCTGTTTATATCCACCCAACCTCATCTATCTATGTCTATCCTACGCTTGAAACCATCAAGGGATCCCACGTTTATTATGTAACCTCGTAATTTGTTCCACAAATCAACAACTCTGTTTTCAAACTAGTATTTACCCAGGTCTTTTATAAATTTAAACCCATTCAATTTATATCCATTATTTCGTGTTCTATTTTGCGTTGATATATTTAATAGCTTATTACAATCCTCCTTGTTATGCCCATTCATTTCTGTCACTCTTAACTCTTCACTTTTCTACCGAATGTAAACTAAGTTTTTCAACCTTTCTTAATATGGAATGTTTCTAGTTTGTGGGATAAACTTAGTTATCCTTCGCTGAACTCGTTCTAGTGAATTGATGTTAATCCTAAAGTATGATGACCAAAACTGTACTGCATAAATCATACATTTATATACAAATTGTTTGGCTTTAAATTTCTACTAATCATGACCCTCCCCCCCCCCCCCAGATATTCTTTGTAATTAACTGCTTAAAATAAACAAGACAAGAGTGAAAGTAATTTAACTAAACATGGTCTGTTCTTAGTGAAACTACATTGTGTTTCATTTATTAATCCATGTCTTTAAAGACAAACAAATGAATTTTGTGACTATCAGTTCAAGCAATGTACCTACAATGAATATTAAGCTAATTGGACAATGATCTCTTGCAATGTCCATTGCAAGAAATCTATTTCCATTCTTGAATATGAGAACTACATAAGCAACCCTCCCCGGCTCCTGAACTCTGCTAGACTCTAACCATTTGTTCAATAACAAGATAGGGGCTCTGCAAGCTCTTTTACAAGCTCTGGCAAACACTATTGTGGCCCTGGGGACTTTAATATCTTCAATGTTTGTTTATTAATTTGCTCATTGATTACCACTTAACCAGTTAATTTGTACAAAATTACTAATTGCAGTAGCAAGATGTTAACAACAATTTCACACCCGCTGTGAATTTGAGCTGCCGCTAGAAGAAAAGGGAAGGGAATTATCAGGAGAAAGCGCCAAGCCATTACGACTATATAGCACTGGGAAGGGGTCAGGATAAGGATTTGGGATGGGACGGGGGGGGGGGGAAGGAATGGTGCCCAACCAATTGGACAGTCGGGGATTGAACGCCGACCTGCATGAAGCGAGATAACGAGATATTTGTATATAAATGAAGCGAGTTCTGCTGGAACGATTCCTGCTGAACCGTTCCAGCAGAACGGTTCGTAAACGGTTCCTGCTATAAAACAGGAGAGGTAAATGATTTTAAGTTAAACATTAAGTAATGATTTACACAAGAAAACGATCAAAGCTGTAGGATAAAGAGGAAGAAATATTGCATAGAAGGAGAGGGATTAAAGTAAGGTCATTCTAATATCCCGTAGGAAGCCCGCAGTTCACCCGAAAAGTAAGTCAACGGAGGGAGCGCCGGTGAAGGAAGGAAGGGAATTTTGGTTGTGGGTGATTCCCAGGTGAGGTATTTGGGTAGAACATTTTGTGCCCGGGATGGAGGGAACAAGTTATGGTTCAAGTTGCGTGTGCGTAAGTTATGGTTACGCACACGCAACCAAAGACATATGCACACCCATATGACAGCAGCGTACTCTACACTGGCAAAAGTTATAACATCATTCAGAAAACTAAGCGAGAAGGCTTTTAGGACACTTTACACTGCCTACGTTATCTTGAGGTTATCTTGAGATGATTTCAGGGCTTAGTGTCCCCGCGGCCCGGTCCTCGACCAGGCCTCCACCCCCAGGAAGCAGCCCGTAGCAGCTGTCTAACACCCAGGTACCTATTCACTGCTAGGTAACAGGGGGGTATCAGGGTGAAAGAAACATTTTGCCCATTTGTCGAAGCCGGAACCTCAGGACTACGAATCCGAAGCGCTGTCCACCCAGCTGTCAGGCGCCCCATTGGTACGTGAGACCAATCTTAGAGTATGCTGTGCCATCATGGAGTCCCCACCTGAAGAAACACGTAAGGAAACTGGAAAAGATTCAGAAGTTTGCGACGAGGCACGTCCCAGCGTTAAGAGGAATGGGGTATGAAGAGCGCCTGAAGGAACTGAGCCTTACGACACTAGAAAAAAGAAGGGAGAAGGGGGATATGATAGGAACGTAGAAAATACTTAGGGAAATTGACAAAGTGGAAATAGATGAAATGTTCACACGTAATAGTTACAGAACGAGGGGACATGGGTGGAAGCTGGAAAATCAGATGAGTCACAGAGATGTTAGGAAGTATTCTTTTAGCATGAGAGTAATGGAAAAATGGAATGCACTTAAGGAGCAGGTTGTGGAAGCAAACTGTATTCATAATTTTAAAACTAGGTATGATAGGGAAATGGGACAGAAGTCATTGCTGTAAACAACCGATGGCTAGAAAGGTGGGATCCAAGAGTCAATACTCGATCCTGCAGGCACAAATAGGTGAGCACAAATAGGTGAGTACAATAGGTGAGTATAAATAGGTGAGTACACACATGCACACACAGTCAAAGACATTCCCACACCCAATCACAGACATATACACACACAGCCACATACACTTCAACCCAGGTAAATGTAAGGTAATGAAACTAGGGGGAGGAAATAGGAGGCCAGACACATGATACAGAATGGGAGATGAAGTCCTTCATGAAACGGACAGAAAGATCTAGGAGTTGATATCACATCAAACCCTGAAGCCCACATCAAAAGAATAACATCGGCAGCGTATGCGAGGCTGGCTAACATCAGAACTGCCTTCAGAAACTTGTGTAAGGACTCTATCAGAACCTTGTATACTACATATGTAACACCAATCCTGGAGTATGCGGCCCCAGCATGAAGCACGTACCTTGGATGAAACTGGAAAAAGTTCAGAGGTATGTCACTAGACTAATCCGAGAACTAAGAGGCATGAGTTACGAGGAAAGGCTGAGGGAACTGCACCTCACGTCGCTGGAAGACAGAAGAGCTCGGGGAGACATGATCACCATATACAAGATTCTAAGGGGAATTGACAGGGTAGACAGAGATAGATTATTTAACGTGGGATGGTACACACACAAGGGGACACAGGTGGAAGCTGAGTACCCAAATGAGCCACAGAGACATTAGAAAGAACTTTTTCAGAGTCAGAGTAGTTAGTAAATAAAATGCATTAGGCAGTGATGTGGTGGAGGCTGACTCCATACACAGTTTCAAATGTAGATATGATAGAGCCCAGTAGGCTCAGGAATTTGTACACCAGTTGACTGACAGTTGAGAGGCGGGACCGAAGACCCAAAGCTCAACCCCCGTAAGCACAACTAGGTGAGTACATCTATCACGGGGGCCTGATAGCTGAGTAGACAGCGCTCTGGACTCGTAATTCTATGGTCCGGGTTCGATCCCCAGTGATGGCAGAAACAAATGGCAAAGTTTCTTTCACCCTGATTCCCCTGTTACCTAGCAGTAAATAGGTACCTGGGAGTTAGACAGCTGCTACGGACTGCTTCCTGTGTGTGTGTGTGTGTGTGTGTGTGTGTGTGTGTGTGTGTGTGTGTGTGTGTGTGTGTGTGTGTGTGTGTGTGTGTGTGTGTGTGTGTGTGTACTCACCTAGTTGTGCTTGCGAGTGTTGAGCTCTGGCTCTTCTGGTCCCACTTCTCAACCGTCAATCAACAAGTGTACAGGTTCCTGAGCCTATTGGGCTCTATCATATCTACACTTGAAACTGTGTATGGAGTCAGCCTCCACCACATCGCTTCCTTATGCATTCCATTTGTCAACCACTCTGACACTAAAAAAGTTCTTTCTAATATCTCTGTGGCTCATTTGGGCACTCAGTTTCCACCTGTGTCCCCTAGTGCGTGTGCCCCTTGTGTTAAACAGCCTGTCTATATCAACCCTGTCGATTTCCTTGAGAATCTTGAATGTGGTGATCATGTCCCCCCCTAACTCTTCTGTCTTCCAACGAAGTGAGGTTTAATTCCCGTAGTCTCTCCTCGTAGCTCATACCTCTCAGCTCGGGTACTAGTCTGGTGGCTAACCTTTGAACCTTTTCCAGTTTAGTCTTATGCTTGACTAGATATGGACCCCATGCTGGAGTCGCATACTCCAGGGTTGGTCTGACATATGTGGTATATAATGTTCTGAAAGATTCCTTACACAGGTTTCTAAAGGCCGTTCTTATGTTAGCCAATCTGGCATATGCTGCTAATATTATCCTCTTGATATGAGCTTCAGGGGACAGGTCTGGCGTGATATCAACCCCCAGGTCTTTCTCTCTCTCTCTGACTCTTGGAGTATTTCATCTCCCAAATGGTACCTTGTATCTGGTCTCCTGCTTCCTACCCCTATCTTCATTACATTATATTTGCTCGGGTTAAACTCTAACAGCCATTTGTTCGACCATTCCCGCAGCTTGTCCAGGTCTTCTTGAAGCCTCAAGCTGTCCTCCTCTGTCTTAATCCTTCTCATAATTTTGGCGTCGTCAGCAAACATTGAGAGGAATGAGTCTATACCCTCTGGGAGATCTTTTACGTATATCAGAAACAGGATAGGTCCAAATACAGAGCCCTGTGGGACTCCACTGGTGACTTCACTCCAATCTGAGGTCTCACCCCTCACTGTAAC